GGGTTCGAGACTGAGCACCACATAAAAATAAAATAAAGGTACTGTGTCCGCTACAAAAAAAAATATATTAAGAAGCAGCAGCAGCAGCAGCGGCTCAAACTGCCCACGGCTGCTCGTGGGAATGGCCTGGTAAAGGACACGGTGGATTGAAACTCACAAGGGCCCCAAACCCGTGGTGCTTCCTCTAGGCTACCCTGATTTCCACGGACTCTGTATAAATGGTCGCTCTGCAGTTACCTATTTTAACAGATCAAACTGTTGAATCAGGACTTGAATTTACTTCTCTTCATCTATCTCGCCAACAATGGCTTTCTCCAAACCACTGGAGAGACACAGAGAGGGTCACTCAGAAAACAAGGGCAAGGCCCTGTCTCCAGAGAGCTCACTGGCATGGTCTTAAGTCTTCATATACATGAGACTCTAGGGAAGGATCTGAAAGCATATTTACGATCCTGGGGGAAATGCCCCAGTGTCATTAAGACTTCGCATGAGTTAAATAAATACAATTTTCAAAAAAAACCCAAAAAACCTTTCAAGATATTTTTGCGACATTGCTCACATGTTTTTCTCTTCTCTATTATTACATTTGGCCACCTGCAGGATAATCAAGGTGTTCCATGACAATCCTTGATCATTCTGGTTGAGTTTCTGAGGGGAAACGATATTGTGAGAGTTTGCCCTTTGGCTTTCAAACCCAGGGAGGGTCTCCAGTTCCCCCTTGACTTCACAGCCGCCCTCTTCGGGGGGCTCTCACACGGCTCCCACCTTCCTTGCCAGAGAGGCTGCAGGTGTGAGCACCAAGACAGGCGGTCTGACGAAGAAGAGACGGAGAGCTGGGGTGTCCCCAGGGTCACACCAGGGACTGTTGGGTCATCAGTGTGACCCGTCCTCTGGCACCCACGCCCTAAGCACCTTCTCCGAGCTCTGTGGCACTCGTCAGGGTGTGACTCCAACCTGCCTCTGCGCCTGGAGAGGAGAAAGGACTCCACGGAACAGCAACTGCAGCTCAGGAAGGGGCTGTGACCCACCCGTGGGCACGTCGGGGGTTCGCCTCGGCACTGCGGCACCGCGGCACCAGAGGCCGGCCCGACGCCTGGTCCCACGGCTGACCCAACAGATGTCAGGTGAGCGAGGAGAGGCCGTCCAGGTGGGACTCTGGACTGGAGCTAGCAGTAGGTGCCCGGCGGAGCATGGGCCCCATCCTTTTAGTGACAATGACAAGTGGCATTAGTAGCAGCAGTGGCTGATCCTGTTGCCCTCAGGAAGAGGCAGGAGGCTGGAGGCCAAGGTGGAAACAGGAGGCATCTACATTTAGGAGACAGGAAAGGAATCAGAGAGAACCAGGAAGGTGCTGGCCAGAAGTGGTGGGAGACCCCGGGGGAAAGGGATGGGAGGCTCAGGACAGAGAGCTCCCCCTTCAACTTGAGCTTGGCTCCTTCACCATATCCTGAGAATCACCCTAAAAACCTGGCTCATCTGACAGCTACCATGGCAGAAAAATCACAGCCCCTCGCCACCGTGTGTGTGTGTGTGTGTGTGTGTGTGTGTGTGTGTGTGTGTGTGTGTGTGAACAGACTACAAGAGAAGAATCTAAGACATAAGAGGTCAACTGGCCCACCTCTCTTACTCCACACAGGAACAAACAGAGGCTTCACAGGCCAGTGGCTGCCCAGCAGTGCCTGGAGAAGTGGCCTTCAGCAGGGGTGCATGCTTTTTCTGAAAAAGCCCATGCAGTCAATGTTTGGGGCTTTGTGGGCAGACCATCTGGGTCAGTACTGCTTATCCCCTAGAGCAGTCCGAGAACAGAATTCCAGCTGGGAAGGATTTATAAGTGGATAAATCTTGACTGCTTCAAAGGACTTATTACATTTTATAAAAAATTCACTTGTAGCTCACTGGCCACCAAATACTGGTACTCCATGTGTCCCTGAGCACTCTTCAAACACCCCTTCCATGGTGACAGTGGCGCTGGGCCCACCCTCTGGAGTCACAAACATCCTGACCACTCTGTGCAGGGCTCCCAAAGACAGGGCCCTGTACGGGCCAGACACACACAGCTCAGCACTTGACAGACACGACGTGGATTTGGGTAAATCATCTGCTCTTTGAGGTTCATTTGTCTCATCTGCAAAATAGGGATGATTATCCTCCCTTTACAGAATGGTTTGAATGAGTCAAAGCCACGGATGGCGCCCAGGGCTGGCACCTAGGGTTTTCACAACATACGCTGTGCTTATGCCTAAGATGGTGATGATGCAGCAGTGACAATAATGAAGATAAGATGTTCCCTTACTATCAAGGCAGAGATTGCACAAGGCCCACCTCCACGTGCCAGCAGGATGCTCATAGCACCTAGGGGATGAGCAGAGAGAACTAATTCCTAAACCTCAGGGCCAGAAGAGAATGGTCCCCAGGTGTCCAGTGGAACCACAGGGCTGTCTGCATGGCACAAACCCTGGGGAGGGTCTCAGTCCCCCTAATCATGGCAGTCTTCTGGGTGCATGTCCTGGAGACTCATCAAGACACACTCTGCAAGACTTTCTGCCCAGTGCCATGATGATGAGAAATAAAATTGCCCAGCCTGTTGGTAGACTCTCCCAGGTGGTACCTATGAAGCAGCTGAATGCCAGTTACCAGGGCCGAGAAAAGGCCCTGCTCAGGGGATGTTTTCAATCCTTCAGAGAAAAAGAATCAGATTCAGTGACTATGAGGTACGAAGATGGCTAATAACATGTGTCACCACGGGAGGCCGTCAAGGATGCCCTGAACGAAATTCTGGTTTCAGGAAGGAAAATACAAATAGTTCCTCTGAGCTTTAATGAGCTTGGCCGGGGGTCCGAAAGCACTTGCATCAAGGCTCAAAAGCGTTAAAACTTAAGGTCAGCACACTCGCCCTGGAAACACTGTGTAGGTCAGGCGGGGACAGACAGCGGTCTTCAGAGTCACAAGTTGTGCTGGTGACTTTCAAGCAAGAATTCTACAGTGTGGACCAGGTTCTTTTTGTGTCCTCTGAGAAAATAAGTTTCTGAGTGAGAATATTCTCAAACTCAAGGGTGCCGATGTGGGTGTGTGCGCACTTTTGTTAGGTGTCGGGGGCACGTGTCCTAGTGGTGGGCCCCAAGACTCTGTAGCTTTGGACATGATGAAGGAGGGGCCCAGAGGCACATGGGGTCTCTTCCCCTCAGAGTTGCCACCTCTAGCAAATAGAGCAGAGATTCTTTAAGCTTGAAGATCTTCAAGAACACACAGCCCACCTCCTGCTCTTGTTACCCAGGGAGTAAGTCAGTCCAGCCCACTGAGCCAGGAAACGGGAGACTGACAACTCTGAGAGAAGGAACCCACCGCTCCCCTGGCCTCTGTGAATCTTTCCTTACATGCCAGAATGAGGCCACACAATTTAGAGCCATTCAAGTGCCCCCAGAAGTGAATCTTCAGAATACGCAGTTATTCTGAGAGATGTCGGTCCACGGGAAACAGAGTTAACTCACACGATTTGCTAAGAAAACCTCCTGGAGAAACAACCATTTCACAAAGTCACGATCAAAACCTCTGCACCAAAGCCAGAAATAAGTGGGGGATTGTCTCTGCTCTTGTTCCACTGCCCTGAGATGAATGCTGGAGATCTGGCTCTGGTTATTTTTAAAGATCCTTTGGTGAAAAGTGCTATAAATCTAAATTATTATTTCCCATCATGAGACACACTATCGAGACAAGGATGCGCATCCACCGGGGCAGCACGTGACGGTGCAGGTTGTCTATTTCTGGAATCTTCATCAATAAGGAAGATGAAGTGCTTAGCACGAGCGATTTCTTTAAATACTAAAGTGGGTTTATCTTTGGAACAAGGACGGCGGCATGCGTTCTCCTTCTGGCGGTAAGTCTGTAAGACTCAGGGGCATTTCAACGGTTTAATCGATCTGAAAGCCATGTCAAAATTGCTTTAAAAAATCTCTGAGCATTCAATATATACACACTTGTTAAAATTAATTACATCATTTAACATTTCTACACACATTATAGTTCTAAATGTTTTACAGTCATTTTTTTATTAATTAATAAAGCTTTAATGGACAGAATTTGCACCATAAAATTATTATGCATATGCTGCGTTTTTAATTTTACTATCTTTAAATAGTTCCCCAAGTGGAAAGTCACTAATTCATAAACCAGTCTCTTTCTCTCAAGAAGTAAAGCTGAAAATCAGAAGTTTGCATACAGAGAGAAAGAAATCTGGCCAATTTCCTTCAAAATAGACTTGCTTCTTCCCTTGATCTCCCAAAGAAAGGGGAAGGATCTCAGGGAAGTCCACCTCAAGCATCCTGCCTGGCCTTGGAAACAGCAATGAATCCAGCCAAGTTACCCAGAAGATGCACCTGGGACTGAAATTGCTTTTGCTGCTGTTTGGCAAGGAGATTCTCTGGCTTCCTCATTTAGAAAATGTCCCATAGTTAACACACACACACACACACACACACACACACACACACACACACACTCCATCATGGGGCTTTGCGGTCTGGGTTTTTATGATATTTATGAAGTTAATTCATAAATATCAACTATGTAATGGAACGGTAAAAAGTGCAGAATTCTAGACACTCCCAAATATGCAGGTGTTTAACTCCAGAGAATAAAACATCTGGGCGTGGATGGTATTTTATTCTTTTCTCCTTACTTTGGAAAGTGGAGCAGGCATGGTCTGAATTAGCTTCCTTTGGGGGCGGCTCCCTATTCTTTGCAAGTATCCTGGCACTCTTGTTAGCAACAAGAATTTGAGGAGAGATGTCTCATATCTACAAAAGTCTCATCTAAAAAAAAAACCCTATCCTCTTAGATGTCAAAGATGAGCTGTATCAGTTGCCACCTTGGTGCAGAGCGGTCAAAGCCAATCCTACTGCAAAACACCTCTGAGACTAAGTGATGTAGAAGCAGCTCACTTAACATCCCCGAGGCAGGGCGTTCACACCCCAGGCTCTCCTGCAGAGGGCAGCACCACTCACCTGCCTTGTAACTCCAGCCAGGAATGTGAATGGCCAGTTGCTCCGCGTGACTGCTGGTGCCAGGAGCCGCGTGGTCCTCTTTCCCTTTTCTCACAGTGTCCAGGTTAGTCCCAACATCTGCAAGCTCTATATTTTCCGAGAGAGGAGAGCTACTCCAAGGACATGCGCCAGTCCCCAGGTGCACCCGCCCCAACGATGGGTTTTCCTTGGAGTGGCTTTCTTGTAAAGCTGGGCTCCAGCGTGGGCTTTGGAGGTTCGGGTTTCCCTCTGCGAGCTCCTGCCTCAGGCCGCTGCTCATTGGCTCTCGGTTAGCTGGGCCGTCGACTCCATCTGCTGTTAACCCGTGGGAACTACAACTGAGGTTGAGGGACAGGACGGACCTGTGCACTTTGGGGCTTGCAATTTGAGGTGGCTCAACAGGGACAGACAGAGACTTGTCCAGGTAGTAGATGGAATTCTGACACTGCCGAGACACCTGGAGGTGGACACAGGAACTGAATGCCAGGGGAGTCTTTCCCGATGGCCGAGGGTCGGCAGAAAACCCGCTCTCCTGGTGGTCTACGTGCGTGACCCAGTACTCGTTTCCCGCACACAGCCCCGCGCGGGCCTCGGGAACCTTCAGCCTCGTCACCGAGCCGTTTCTGGGGCACTCTGCGCAGTCAAAAGGTCCGTGGTGCTGATGTGGCTGGGCACCGTCAGTCACCGCCGATGGGACCCCGAGCAGAGCATCCTCGGCCCTGCACCGGGGACACGGCGACTCCCCAACAGTGCCCCACACCAGGGCACTGGCCGCTGGGCGAACACGCCGGGCGGTGATGGTGATGGACGCGAACCCCTTGCGGAGGCCTGGGTCGGCAGTGGGCAGCCGTTCAGCTTCCGATCCTCGCTCGTCTGACCGTCTGTGGACCCCCAGCTTGCCGGGCAGTAACGCCAAGGCCCTGTGGATGCTGACTCTGCTGCGGCTCGTGGACGCTGGCTTGGTGGGACATGCTCGAGGTTGGGCGATCGCACATGGCAGGGGTAAGGCGGCCCCGGGTTCTCTGGGTTTATTCTCATCAATCAGCTGCGAAATTACTATGGATGAAATCATTCTTGAGTTCTGCGATGTCAGAGCCTCCTGCAAATAGAAAAAAGACCCCAAATGTTCAAGCAGTTCATTGTAATTCAGACAGGACTCCCCGGGGCCACGGCTCCGGTTCTCACCCACAGAATCTCACTGCACACTGTGCCCTGTCTGAGCGCTTGGGAGGGTGGGAAACCCAGATCTGTTTACGAAAAAGCTACATATTCTGCCAACGCTAGCCTGATGCGGCTGGGTTTTCTCAGTGGGGTGTCTAGTCTTAGTAGATTTTGAGAGTCAACTCTACCAGACCCAAGAATCTCCAGATCGGAATTAACAGATTCAGTGAGGAGGGAAGACCAAATTCTGGAGTTGGGCTGTGTGGGACTTGGGGTGCAGGTTTTGAGGGTGATGGGTCAGTCCTGAGGCATGGAAACTGCAAGAGAGGTTACAGGGAGCTCCTGCCCACCTCCATCTCTCGCACTGTCCTCCACCTTTGCTGGTTTAGACACTAACAGTGTCTCCCTGCTGCTTGGAATCACAGGTGCCTGAATGCAGACAGAAGATGGAAAGCAAATGACCAAGCCCTGACAACTGCCCAGACCAACACTGTGATAATCAGGTGATTTCACTTATCAGAGAGAGGAGAGCTACTCCAAGGACATGTGCTAGTCCCCGGGTACACCCGCCCCAACGGTGGGTTTTCCTAGGAGTGATTTCTTGTAAAGATGGGTTCCAGTGTGGGCTTTGGAGGTCCGGGTTTCCCTCTGCGAGCTCCGGCCTCAGACCTCGGCTCATTGGCTTTCTGTTTACTGACATTTTGCATTTCAACCTAAGCATGGGTTTTTGTCCACTGTTTTAAAATGATCACTGGCATTTCATGCTTTCTACTCAGCACACTGGAAGTCCTAACAATAAGTCACTGTTGTGTACAAAACTAGGTGCTATGATTTTGTGTGTGTGTGCACGCGTATGCATGCCATGATTTTTTTTTAAAGAGAGAGAGAGAGAGAGAGAGAGAATTTTTTAAATATTTATTTATTTATTTATTTATTTTTAGTTTTCAGCAGACACAACATCTCTGTTTGTTTGTGGTGCTGAGGATCGAACCCAGGCTGCACACATGCCAGGCGAGCGTGCTACCGCTTGAGCCACATCCCCAGCCCCACATGCCATGATTTTTAACAAAGCACCTAAGCAGGCTGAGATCAGGAACAGGCATCTCTTCTGTCCTCATTTGGTTTCTATCATGTTTATTTATAAAGCACTGCAAAAAAATGGCATGGCAGTCTGACCATACCCTAGCGTTTAGTGAATGCACACAGAGTCCTGAGCAACTTGACATTGTTACATGTGCTTAAAATGAACCCTTGAAAGAAACTGCATGAGGCCAGAACTACTGGAAACTACTAAGTTCCCACTGCTTGTAGAGAATCTTTTTTGCCTTGGAGCCTGAAGGCATAACTGTGGTGCTTAGTACATAAAGCAGCAGTTCCCAAGATTCTAACATGCATGAGAATCGCCAGCAGTCTTATTCATAATTGCAGGTTCCCCAGCTCAGAGATTCTGATTTGTGGGTTGTGGGTGGAGCCCAGGCATCTTCATCGCCACCCAAGTCTTGAAGATTCTTATATAGAGTAATCTGGGGAGCACAGAGTGAATGGTGAGGCTGCTAATCATGTCAAGAGATCACTTTTGGGAGGGGAAGGACCCGCTTCTGGTGAGAGGAGGAGACCTCTTTGCCCAGGATGTGGTAAGTCATCAGGGTAGCAGTTTTGTTCAGGGCAGGATTAATTTTCTCAAATAATTGACAATTCTCCTCTAGTTGGACATTGGATCCTGCATGTCCACACATCTACCAGAGGTCCCTCATGTGTGATCTTGGCCACCCCAGGGGTAAGGGAAGACAGTCATCAGCTGGCTCTTCATGGCGTCTTGACCACCTTATGAACACTTACATTTTTAAAGATGTGTGAGAAGTTGCAAATTCAAAAGACAGGAAATGGGCAAATAAAGAATAGACAGAAAAGTCATTTAGAATCTTCATTATTTAAAAAATTAAAAAAATATATATCTCTGGCTCTAAGACAAGAAGGAGGATACCTAACTCTCTCTTTGAGTCTCACTGCTACTCTCTGCTTCCAGGCTGCACCTTGTGGGTCCCTGGAGGGGGTCTCTAAGGCCTGCTCCTGGGAGCCGTTATAGGCAGGGCCTCTCCCCAGCACTTCTGAAACCACATTGCAAGACCCCAGTGGCTAGCCTCATCCCCAAGTACAGTGGAGTCCCTGAGAGAGGGGGCTTTAGGAGAAGAGCAAGAATCAGTGTTTCTTTAAGCCCTCAGCATGATTCCAGCTTCTGATTCTGCAGCACTCCCACCCCCTCTCCAGAGCACCTTTCCTGGGGCCGTGGTTTGCATACAGAAAACTGAAACGCACCTGGGCTGACTTGACAGTACACAGTCCCTCCCATTTTAGTTAAATTTAGCTCTGATAATAATTGTTCCTGTGCACCCCACGAAGTGTATAATCATACCCAGTGGGAACTCCTTTGACATTGGTCTTTAGAGAAAAAGCAAATACCGATCTTAGAAACTGCAGCATTGATCTTAAGTTTCCCAAAGTTTAGACCAGTGATTACCTGCATAATAAAACCCTTGGGAGGGGGCTGCAGATTTGGGGGTGCCAACCTCCCTAGCCTAGGTTGAATCAGGGCCTGTAAGGATAAGGGCCGTCATGTAATGTGTATTCTGATCCGTTCTCAGGTGGTTCTTCCACGTGAATCTGGGGAAAAGAGGCTGAAATTACTTAGGCCACCCGTCACCCAACCAGAGCCAAGGGCCCTCAGACAGACTACCTTGCTTTCCATAGCTCTAGAGTAAGGGGGGGACACTGTGCAACGCCTGTGGACAGAGCCCTCCTTGCACTGCAGTCTCCTCCCATATCAAAGTGTGTCGCTAAGGATAAACAGACGTCATCTCAGCTTGGTTGCTAAAGATAAACAGACGTCATCTCAGCTTGGAGCCGGCACAGAAAAGACCCTGACTGTTGATGCCAGCCTGTCCCCACTCTTGGGCGGAGTCAGAGAGCTCCCCAGGGGTGCACTGCTGAAGGCTTCGGGGCTGCCTGAAGCTCAGGCCTGGGGGTCACCCTGGAGGACCCGGGAGGACTGAATCAGGAGTGAGCCACATTTCATTCCCTGGGACCTGGCAAAGGTGACTGTGATTTTTACTCTATCAAAAGAAAGAGGTGAAATCCATAATGAACACTGTGATTTTGAACCAATTTCTGAAGCTCTAAAATCCTTCACTATGTCAGAGTGACACGGATGACAGCCCAATTTCAAAGAAAAAAAAACACAAAACTATTTGCCCTCTCTTCTCACAGGGAAGGTGTGGATAGCAGAAAAGACCCCAGGTAGAAAGGAAGTTCCCCTTACAACCCAGGGGTTCATCTGAATTGCACGAATGGCACTACTTCAGCACATATCCAATACACGGAAATGTTACTACTGGGAATGTTGAGTTAGTCTGCTTTTAGGTGCCAAATCTGTTATCCACAGCGTATAGTCATGGTTAGACCATTTGTTTAATTACTCCTCTGAAAAATACTTAGAGCACCTACTACATGCCAGGGGCCATGCTGGGCCCTGGGGAGACTCCTGGTCTCATGGAGTTAACAGCCTGGAGGTGACATGGAACAAGAGATCAAATATCAGGGCAGAGTATTTCCAGGATTTAGACTTCACTTTGTTTGACAAGAGCCCCAGAAATTAAATTGAGAGAAATTAAAAAGGAAACATTGGACTCTTTGCTCTTAAATATATATGCTCCTCTTATAACTCTTAGTCATCACATTCCTATTTTCTTATTGAGATGCATTAAATAATCAAAGATAATATCCAACCACCTAAAACTTTTACTGGTTTGCTAGGGGTGCTATAGCAACACCCCCAATCTTGTGATCTAAATGGCAGCAATTTATTGTCTCACAGTCTGGAGACTGGGAGTCCAACACCGAGGTGCCTGCAGCGCTCTTCCGAGGCCTGTCTCTTCGGCTTGTCGATGCTGTCCCCTCCCAGTGCCTCATGCCATCTTCCCCCTGTACTTGGGTCCCATTCTTCCTCTATCTATCTATCTATCTATTTATCTATCTATCTATCTATCTATCTATCTATCTATCTATCTCTCGGCAATACCAAAATTGAACCCAGGTCCTTGCACAGGTTAGGCAAGTGCTCTACCACTGAGCTATACCCCAACTCTTTTCTTTAAGGACCATCAGACATATTGGTTTCAGGCCCATCCAAATGGCCTCATTTTAACTTAATTATCCCTTCAAAAACTCCAATCACCAAATACAATCACTTTCTGAGTTGCTGGGGGTAGGACCAGGAGAACTGGGAGGAGGGGTCTGATTCAGCCCATCATAGAATATAACACATCATTTTGAGTCTGGGAAATTAAAGAGACGAGAAAGAGTGGTTAACATTCCTAAGTCACCTGCTACTTTGAAAACTGGGCAAATTTAAAAAGTAGTCCCATCTTTTATAGCAAGCACCTTCCCAAATCAAGCTATTTCATGGTGACACTCTATCTGCTTTTTAGATTGGGTTAACTAAACGCGGCTTTGTAGAGAGATTTCTTTCATCTAGAATAAAGTTAACTGATGTAAGGTTTGATTTGAAAGGACGAAGAGAATCATCTCATATTTAAAGTAGCACATTCAAGGTTGGAGACAGGTCAGATGAATAGTTGGGTTTAATGTCTTGCTTCCTCAGCAAACCATCCTTTGCCTGACCATTACTGACCAACACAGCTCTACATTTTCTTTTTCATAGATGCTGTTTTAAGTATTGATTTTTTTTAATGTCTCAAACATGATTTTGTAGAGCTGGTAACTGCTTTCATAGTTTTATGCTTTTTATTGACCGCTTTTAACTTTATATTTATGCCATAAGGCATATTACTAAGAAGGGCAACATTTCATAAATTGAAATAAGAAAGAGATAAGAGGTGGGTGATCAGAGAAATCAGACCCTGAGGCACTGGAGTGAGGATGCCTCTATTCCTGTAGCAATTTATTTCTCCAAAAGATAAGCATCTAATCTGATCTGTACCTTTGAAATCTGTATTTTTCTCCATGACACAATTCTTTCCTTTTCCACTGCTGTTCTGCAACCTACAATGTCTTTCCCATACAGATTCTCTGGATACTTCTCCCCACAGGTACTCTACAGCAGTTACCCCCACACCTGCTGCAAGCTGGCTCGGCCCTGCGGGGCGGACCTAGAATCAACTAGGTAATTCAGCAACCTAGCAGCATTTCATCCAGAATGTAAGAGCATTTCAGATGAGTGTGTCCACTCTGGTAAGAAGCAATGGGGAAACACAACTTTGAGATGAATGGAAAAATCCAAGCTCTCCTCACTCCTCACGGTGAACATCGTCTTTCCATGCAGTTACTACAGACTAAAAACTGCATGATAGACAGCAATGGAAAGCTGTTGAGAATTTCCCACCCCCCACCCCCATATTTTCACTGTGGTACAAACACAGTTTTCCATCTTAACCATGTTTAAGTGTGCATTTATTTTGGTGGCAGCCATCACTACACTCATGTCCAGAAATCTTTTTATCTTATAAAACTAAAACTTGTATGTGTTAAACAAAAACTCTCCATTCCCTCCACATCACAGGTCCTGGAAAGCATCAAGAATAATGCCTCTTAAAAGGTAGATCCTGGTACACACAACTGCAACTTACAGCTAGCGTCAATTAAAAATAAAAATTATCAATAATTTAAATGCCATGGAAAATTGCTTTGCAATAAAAGACAGCTATGGAAATCAATACATATTATAGTCTCAGACTTTTGTCAAAACAGACATGGGGAAAATAAGGAAATGTCATACACACATATATTTCCTTATTTATGTATGTCTGTATTTTCCTAAGTTTGCAGAGTTGTCATTTTATTACCAGGAAAAGTTAAAAAAAATTTTTAGAAGACGACTGGTCTCCATATTTCACTCCTTTTAAATAAGCACTTGGCAGAAGAGGTGCCTTCCTATCATTGCCGTGGCTCCGATGCGTTGTGGAAGGGAAAGCCATCAATCTTGCGCAGGCTCTGGAGAGAGGCAGAGATTGATGGCACTTGCCCAGGCAGGGCATCTGCTGGCGTGTTCTATCATCCCACAGCCGCCTTCTGACACGCACAGGCATATGCTTTAAAGGCTCAAAGTTAGGAGGGAAACTTGAAAGTCACACTACCTATCAAATCAGATGGTCCAGGTCATTCCAGGGTAGGCGTTTAGAAGGCATGGTTTCCGGGACCCAGCTGGGTCATGGATGACCCTGTGCTAGTCCAAGTGTGTGCTCCAGGGATCCAGCCCCATGGCTCCAAAGAGCTACATCATCATTAATGACCAGAAGCTGACTCATTTTGACACCAACAAGAAAATACTAAAATCTGCCAGCCCGATGTAAAAGGCAGGTGGGAAAGATGATAGAGCAAAAATCCATCTCAGCAGTGCCCCTGCCCACCCTCGATCCCACCCCTCCCAGCCAGCATCTCTTCCCAGCCCGGCTCTCAAGGATCGGCTGCTCCTCCTCCTCAGTTTCCTTCCTCAGTCGGGGATCCTGCTCCTGTTCCCAGGAAAGAAGTCGATGGCAGTGGCACGTTTACATTTCTGAGACGGTGAGCTCAGCGCTTCCCGCAGGAAGACTTTCACGTCCAAGACTAAGTATCAGGACCCAAGTAGCATCCTTTTTCTATACTGTGGATTTGGGGCCCGTGGTCCCTGAGGGACATGTCGAGCTTTATTAAATGCAGAGCTAAATCAAAGTAATATTTGAGCCAAGTATTTTGGGGAGAAAAAAAACCCATTTTAACAAATATGTTTATTAGTTGAATCTGCGATCATAGGATGATTTTATAATTCTTTTTCTCTTAGAATTAACAAAAGTTGGCAACAGAGTATCGATTTGTGATTTGTGACAGACAGCAGATGTCTTGTAAACTGTAACACCTGGGACAGGTCTCTAAGGTGAGACCATGCATACTTTTATGTTCTGTTAACAGGAACAAGCCTTCCTATGTGACAATCCTGCAGGGCAAGTTAAGAACAGAAGCCCGGAGCCAGAGAGCTTAGGAGAACAAGATTTGGGACAAGTTAAATGGTGAAGCTTTGTTTTTCTCATCTGCAAAATGGATACAACACTGTCTGCCTCCCAGTGTTGGCAGAGGGATTAAGTGAGTCAGTTGATTAGATGGTGTGGCATGTGATAAGGTGACAATATTAACCACTGTGTGCAGAGCTCTTTGTTCTTTGGAATCTGAAATATTTTGTTGTCTAAATATGACCCCGGATTTTCTTTCCTGCTTCACACCACTGACACGTTCTGTAGTTAAAACAACCTATACCAGCTTGTTAGATTTCAAAGCATCTCTTCCTGATCTCAAAAAGATAGTAGACAGAATAATATCCCAACACACACATACACACACTCTCTCTCTCTTTAAGACACTAATTTTGCTTTAAAATTGAGGTCAATCACCATATTCTTCTATGATACCACCAACTTAAAAGTTCTTGGTGAAGATTATAAAGGATTATTAAATACACAGTGTCCACATTCATGTAGTAATTCTCAGTCTTTGGTGGTTAACTGTTGTGCTGCACTAATTCAAGTTTAGATTAAACAAAACTAAAATGCAGACAGACACGTCTCCAGGAGGCCAGTGATCATGTTTCATGGTCAAGTGTGCTTGGCTGACATCTCCAGTCACCAATGTGTGTTACCTTGGGGAAGTCCGGTTTCCTCTCTAGAACATCTGATTGGAGATTCCGAAGGGCAATTGGATTGTTAGGACTGCAGTGGTTGTCCCTTGGTCCTAGACAAAAGAAGATAATATTGCTACAGTTAGCACATGTAAGGATAAAATGGAATATATAACTTTAACTTTACCATAAAATTTAATGTGCCCTACTATTTTATACTAGCCCACAGTGAATCTAATACATTCCAACCTGTGAGGAAGTTTTGTATATTCCCTCATGTATCCGGCTCCTTTCCATTTACAATCTCAACAGTCCATTATTATTTGGTTTGTTAGACTGCAAAGTTTCTTCCTCACACAGTTGGTTATGTTTCCTAGATTCAATAACAATCAGAATAGCTCTATCACGTCCTCCAGCATCCGGAGTTTATGCCCAGCAGAAGAGAAAATCACACCTCCAGATTGCCCAGCACCACTGGAGTTCACAAGGAAGAAAAATCCCGGCGATCCAGGAGGATTATGAGTTCAAACCAGCCTCAGCAACTTAGTGAGAGCCTAAGCAATCCAGCAAGAGTCTGTCTCTCCATAAAACATGTTAAAAAGGAGGTGGGGGTGGGGTGGGAATGTGGCTTACTGGTTAAATGTCCCTAGGTTCAATCCTTGGTACTAAAAAAGAAAAAAAAAAAAAAAAAGAAGGTAGAAATACAAGACCAACCTCCATCCAATCTCTTAATGCTGCCATAATTGCAGGGGCAATGTGACTCACACACTGCTATTAAAACCCTTCTAGAGCATCTGCAGACGACTTTGGAGACTGCCATGAGACGTACGTGTGTGTGCACCCCCACAAGCATTTCTACCAGGACAGCTCAACATGGATGCAACTCCAAAGCTTCTCAGCCTAAGCTTCCTTTCCTATAAATCTGCATTCCTGACTCACGCAGCCCTGAGTAGACATGGGGGAAGGGGTGCCTGAGTAGACATGGGGTGGGGGGAAGCACTCTGGAACAGAAGTCAGATTTCCAACTCTGCTGGGACCTCAGGCAAGACAGAGCCAACCTTAGCTGCCCGCCCTGAGCAACAACAACCTGTAAGATGTCACGCAATGTTGGCCACTCCTGTGGGAGTGTGAGCCAAACAGGAAGCCCCATGCAGGGAGGAGTCTGGGCAGGGCCCTGGAGGCCCAGTCCCCACACCCCAAGGTCATCTTTCGCCTCCACAAGGAGAAAGTGGTTGTTCAGAAGGCTACGAGGATGGCCTCCAACTGCTGGTGCCGGCATGAGGAAGAGGAGGTTCAGGGAGTGGCCTCTACACTGGAGCCCTACATCAGGAGCTGGGGTGGTCACGTGCACCTGTAAACACAGCTCCTGGGAGGCTGAGACAGAGGAATGCAAAATGGAGGTTAGCCTGGACATCAAGGCGAGACCCCATGACCAAAAAAGAGAAGGTTTTAGACAGAATTTAAAGCATTTTATGGAAAAAATGATATGCAATAGCATTTTCAAGTTGGTAGGTTTGCTAAGGGGTCAGGTCGTGGATGGAGAGAATTTAAAGGGTCACCATTGTTCCATTCAAAGCCTGGCTGACTCACTTTGTCCTTGGGTCTAGCCTAGATGTGTGGTCACTGTTCCATCTGTGGCTGTCAGGGAGGGAGGAGACGGTCATGCAGGAGGATGTGTCCAGATGGCTTTGGTGAAAAGCACACGTCAGAGACCTTACAGGTCTCAGGGATTCCTGTGCACAGTCCCTGTGTCTTGAACTGGCAGTAAAGCTGAAGGAGTCAGAAACCATCTGGCTCTGGTTTTGTGCCATTGTGCATGGGTAAGGACTTCAGAGTCTGCACAGCCTTTGGGCCCAGACAGGTCTGGGTCTGATCCAGCTCAGACCTGAGCTGACCTTCAGTAAATGAGCTATGTGCCCTCTCTGAGCCTCTTCATCCATAAAATGCAAACAATAACACCGCCTGCAAAAATGCAGCCTGTCCCTCAGTGTGCTGAGGAACCATTTGAAAGCTCTGGGCAGAGATGGGGCACGAGGCCAACGTTCCATGAAGGGCACCAGTTGCAGGTGTTAATGCTCACGGTCAGGGCAGCCCTCCCAGGGCACAAGTGGTCACGTGTGTGGCTTTGGGCAAGTTACAATCAAGCCTAGTTCCTCGCACTGGAGTGTAGATAGTGACGATGTCTCCATCAATGTTACTGAGAATGATTAAGTGAAGCCACCGACCGGCCCTGGGTGCCATGTACAGAACCTAACACTGTGCAGTGAGCACTGGCTGCTGGGATGCAATTCATCAGGAGCAGAAAGGAAGGAAACGGCCACACTCAGTTCTTCAGGAGCCATGTGTGTTTCCTGTGGCTGCTAGAACCAGCGATCACAGCACACAGGCATGGTCCTGCAGTGCTGCAGATCGGAAGCCTAACAGAGGTCCCACCGGCTAATATCAAGGTGTCAACAGGGCGTGCTCCTTTCTGAAGGCTCCGGGGGGATCCTCTTCCCTGCCATCAGCTGCCATGTCCTCCGGCCTCTGTTTCCACTGTAGCAACTCCTTCTCTGCCTCGGCTCTCCTGCCTCCCGCTAATGAGGACTGCAGATCTGATCGAGCCCACCTGATAATCCAGGTACCCTCTCCATCTCCAGATTGCTGATCCCATCACATCTGCCCTTTTGTCACACAAGGTCATGTATTCACAGTTCCCAGGACTAGGACACACGATATCTTTGGGGATTTTTCTCGCCCACCACAGTCTGATTGGGGAGATTCAGGTAGATGCATTGGTTGGAATGTGGGGTCTTTAAAATAATGACGTTCGTATAGCAATATGAAGAAGCACTTAGAATGTAAAGTTTATGGAAAGGAATCGAAAGCCTATGAACCACATGATGTCAACATTAAAAAGAAAGTGTGGGGGAACCCACAAAAACAGTAAAATGGTCACTGCGAGAAATCGCCCTGGTTAAAACGAACTGGCAGCGGGTGCAGACCCTGAGCAGTGCAGGGTAAACACCAGTAATCATAATACTGTAGCCCAAGTTCAAATGAGAGCTGTGTGATTCATATAATTCACTTAACCCCATTGATAGGGTTTCCCACCTATGAAACGGAGATAGGGAGCTGGCGCTGTGGTGCCCAGCTCAGTTCCCCTGTGCTGGGGACCGCTGCTCTTAGGAGGTCACTATCAGTATCTCCTGGCTCCCCTCCTCTGAGAGTGATTCTGAACTGTGGACAAAAAGCCCTAACAGTATCTGCTCTAGAGCATACACCAAAGGCCAGAGGCTGGGCCCTTTCCTCCCTGTGAAGCCTCCCTCACCCGCCCGTGGGCTGTTCCTGAAGGGGTGCCCCCACACCCACATGCCCTCAGTCTCTGCCACAGGCCCTGCTCTCTGGAAACCAACCCGAGGACATCAACAAAGCCGGCTGGGAGGAAGTGAGGCAGCATGGGCGGCGAGGCCCCAGGCTGAGAGCAGAGGTGGGAGACGCTCTTTCCTCCCTGGGACTGTAACAGGAAGTCACAGCTTTGCTGCCCAAGGCCTCAAAGCACCTCCCAGGGATCTCCCAGCCAAGCAACTGGGAGTGGGGGGGATGGGGGAGAAGACACTTAAATGGCCTTGTCCCTGTGTGGATTTAGACAAAAGTAGAAGGGGGCAGGAGGAGGGGACAGAGCCCCAGCAGAGGTCCAAGGGAAACATGGCAATGTCTCAAGGTCAAGATTCCCGCAAACATCCAGGAAAACCCAGCCTATGTGGAGATGAGCCAGCCGCGCACAGATGAAGCCCAGCCTGTCTCCACAGAGCCGGCAGACAAGCACCACCGGGTACTGCCTAATGACCAATCCATCAAGGACGTGCGGATGCCGAGCTCAGAGTCCACTTCCCTCCAAGCTGGGCCACCGGTGTCAGAAACCTGGAGGGCACCCGACTCCTGCCTGAGGGACCTGCATCGCCTGCCCACGTTTCTAGTCTTACAGCAACCAACGATCACTCTGAAATTCTCACTCTACCTTTAATAACATCCTTTTTTTTCTTTTGTAAAACAGAATGACTTTTCAAATTTAAATCCAATCAGTCATCTCTGTGAGGTGTGATGCTGTTGACTCCCCCAAGCCTCTGGAGATTCTTTTAGCTCTGACTTGGAGAACATGGTGGATTCCTGTCTGCCTGCCTCTGGGCTGCTAGGTCCTGCCTGCTTTGGTGGCGTCTCCCTGACAGCTGCCCCTGTCTGGGCAGACCAACTGTGCACACAGCCCTCGGACTGGTGCCTCCCAGTCACCTCCAACTCAGCTCTTCAAGGGGGAACAAAGCCCCTGTCTTCTTCCTCCTCCTGGGTCCATCACCTTGGGGAGCCACCACCACCTGTCCACCACTCACAAGGCCAACAGAGTCCCCTGTCCTCCCTGTCCTCCCTGCAGTGCCCACCTGAAGCTGAGGCTGGTTTGGGTTGAGGAGAAGGTCTGCTCATGGTATCAGCGGCCTCCCCATGCTGCCTGGTCGTAGCAAGGTCACAATCAGTCTGGTGACCCCAGCAGCTGCATCTCCTGGCAGGTTTGTCAAACCCCTTGACATGGCCAGTTTGTGACCTTGTGGGGGTCACCTGCTCCTTCAAAAACTCTTATGCAAGAAAACATTTTTGCCCCCAGGACAGGGCCCATGAAACACACAAAACCCAGGAACATGTGTTCCCAGGATGGAAATCTTTAACAAGCTACCTCCCCTGGCCGCACTCCTCACTCCCCACGCGCGCACACACACACAGTGTGAAGTTTCCTCCTCTGGCAAGGACTTCCTGATACACCCCCACCTGCAGCCCCCAAGCTGTCTCCTGGGGCTGCCACAAGTAATTACGGCAAGCCAGTGGCTTACAGCCCCAGGGATTTATTCTCTCAGTTCTGGGCTGGATGTAAAGTCAAGGTGTCCGCAGGCTCAAACTCCCTCTGGGGGCTCTAGGGGAGGGGTCTTACTTGCCTCCCAGCTGCTGGTGGTTGCTGACATGAGTGCTCCTCGGCTGGTGGAAGCCTCACTTGGGTCCCATGGGTGCACTTGCCTGGAAACCTCTCTCCTAGACACTGGTTGTGAGCTTTAATAAGGTCTAGTCTCATCCTAACTTGATAACATCT